ATGCATACATACAACATACATACATACATACATACATACATACATACAATATGAGGCCAATAAGAGCAAGACGAGACCCCAAGAAGAGATGGTCTGAGGAAGGCACCGGATGGAGCTCGGGGAAGATCTTCACCTGCAGACACAGGGCTGTGCAGCGCGAAGGTCTTCTGCGGCTTCTTGCGAGCTGCAGTGATTCCGGGGTCTCTGCTGTTGTGTAAACGAGGGGTGCGACCAGGAATTGGATGAAGCCGTGCTGCGAGCCAGGCCTATGATTCCGAAGGCGCGGGCCCGGGCAGCGCAGCCCAGTGCCAGCTTCCCATCTCTCTGCACAAGCTAAACTGAGATCTGTGCCGATTAATCTTGTCGCGGTCGTTCAGCATTCCAACGGGAAGGCTTAAACGCTTCTCCTGCAACGGCTGGGTGGTGTACTTTCCTCGGGACGAGATCTTGTGCGACAAACCACGGGGTCCTCATCACCCTGCTCGAAGAATTCATCCAGCACCCGCCAGGCCCATTTTTTGCAGATCTAAGTCGGCGAGCCACCGTTGCTTGTGCATCATGCTGAACGACCCCGCTGTCTCAGTCGCTCCGGGTCCGAGACGTCAAAAGGCTTCAAGGGGTTCGACACGTCCGCAAAGTGCAAGAATAGCTCTACCCACTGCATGCAATTTTTCTGCATGACCTGACAAGGCGGGGCATTTGTCAGGCCTCTTCCACCACTGCAGCCAACTCTCCATCTCGCCTGCTCGACATACTGGGGGAGCAGATCTGGGTGACGAGCTTGCGCGTTGCACACTTCCGACGTCAACTCGTAGATCTGCAGGAGAGTGGCTGAGGCACCGCAAACCCTCACGGCCCCACGGCCCACCAACCAGCTCGAGCCTTGCTGATCTCTCTAACCATGTCAAAGTGGTTGGCATTGTCTGTGTGAAGGATCGACGCGATACAGACCCGCCTGGAACGTGTCCCACAACCCGTGGCACGAGAGACATGCACAAGAACAGGCACCTCGCTTGCTTCTTTGTGTCCTTGTCCATTTGCTTGAAGACATCCGACTCTTCTTTGGAGGCGATCTCAAACAGCTTCGCACAGTGCATGTTCTCCAGCGGGGACCTGCAGCGAGCCAGAGGAACCTGTTTGAGCAATCTGGGAAGCCGGAGCCACTCAGCTCACTGCTTGTCGTTGTATCGCAGCGCCAGTTCATCCCCCAGCTCTACCTGTGTAGAAGTAGCCGATTAAGGGACGCCATGGTCACTTTGGGAAACTTCTGCTCGAGAGCCGGACCAAGAACGGGTTCGTCCGTCCGGCGTGCCCAATGTCGTGACAGAGTGCTGCTACGAGAAGTGCATACTGGTCAACACCTCAAGTGTAGGCAAAACACATCCACCCCGCAAACAGCTCATTTTGTTTCCAGAATCGTCCACCCACAAACCAGCTTGAGGGTAAGACTTCCCAGCCACTTGCTCGAGGCCGACAAACAAAGCAATCTGTAAACGGTGTGCAGCACCTCAGCTTCAGCTTGTCGTGTTGTCGAAAGCAGCGGGCGAGAGTGCAAGCCAAGCTGCATCACATGCATGGGAATAATTGTGGTATGGGAGGTCGTTGTAACCAGCTTTGACTACTGAGTGGAATCGCTTGAACGTCGCCGCCTGGAGCACAGCCCGTCAGAAGTCCACAACTCAAATCACAACAGCATCCTGAGCCGTAGCCTCAGTCCAGTATCGACCCGTTGTTCGTCCAACCAAGGAGTCGAAGAAAATGTGAAGCGCAACCTGGCACCAAGTTTCAGCAGAATCCGAGCACAATCAATCCGACATTATCCGGCGTTGTTGCCTTCGTTTGAGCGTCGGTGTCCATTGACAGAACATCCAACTCCCAAGACTCCACCGTGTCCCTGCACATCCAGGCATGTCAGGATTGTCGTCTGAGGGGCAACCCCTGCAACCCCCAGCCTTGCGACAGGCATTGAACTCACAACGGGCACATCCGGCAAGTCCAGCATGGCCGACATTTCACCAGCTTCTAGACCTGGCCAAAAACGCCACGAAGTCACTTAGCGCGAAGACAAGATCAGCGGCTTCCCCCGGAACCTTCAGACCCTGTGTTGGGGTGGGAAACTCCACCTTGGATTTGGACGCACGAACTTCACAAGGGGGTCTGAGGTAGCAAGCCCTTGTCTCTGGCTGTGTCTGAAGTTCGCACTGTTGCGGAGAGAGCTAGACGCAGCTGCATCGCTTGTCGAAGCCGGTGCCACCTGCGATTTGCCAGCATCTTGAACAGGTCATCACGCGCTCCGCATCCTTCAACATTCAATTCAGCCTGTACGTTCATCATGTCCATCATGACTCCTCGTGCTGACTCATCCATTCCTGCAGGTGGTTCGTGGATACTCTCGGCAAGCGGGGTATGGCCAATGCCCTACGCAAGCTCATCATTCACGGGCCGTGCAAGAGCAACTGCCATGAGGCGAACCTGCCAGCTCTTCAGCCGTGGCTTCATTGCGCCCGGCCGCGAGGCTTGCAAGTCGCGCGAACTTCTTGAAGATGCCCTGAACACGGCGACGAGACTCAGAAATCAACAACCTGTAACATCCGTTTGGAGCTACTGGCTCGCCCCTCAATGCTGCTACAATACAAGCAGTCTGAGCACCTCCAACAGCTCCGTTTCTTCCACATCCTCTTCTCCTTGATCCTGCACGCTGCAAGGCTTTCGATCGGAGCACAGCGCATGCTGCCATCAACATCCGGTCCATGTCGTCTTCAAGCCCAAACTGCTTCAACAACTGGGCCGCGTTGTCCTTGACCACCGATAACATGCTTTCCTGGCAGCATCAAGCTTTACTCGGCCCCTCGACTCTCGGCTCTCTCAACACGCCGAGGCTTCCATTGGTTGCACGACCAGCTTGTGGAGTGTCTGGTTCAAATTGGTAGACACACCGATCATCAGCAAAATGATGAAGAAGGCCAAGGCCTGTGGAGAGGCCAGGTAGGGGTGAATTGAATGACGGGCTTACAGCTGGCGACATCTCAGGAGTAGACCATGTCTTCTGTCACTTCGATCCGTCGAGGGCTGTGGAAGTTGAAGTACAAGTGAGCATCTCCTGGGCCTTGCGACAGAGTTGAGATCATCTGGTTTGCTCAGAGATTATGTGATTCCCAAGTCCCGAGAGCTGCCAACTGGGTCTGTGGCACTCGGGGCGTTCAACAAGGCATGCAGGTACCTTGGAAGCGTGCGATCATCCTCGTTCAATGCCCCTCTTCCCCCCCTCTTGCTTCTCGTGCGCTCCGGCTGGTTGACGAGTCACGGAGACCCGGTAGATGTCAGACATCTGGACCACACCAGGAAGGTCACTGAGCTGCGCAACGCCAGGGATGTAGGAAACGTTTCCATTTACCATCACCTGCACGACACAATCTATGCACAAACCGACACCGTGAAGGAACTGATCACGACTACCTCCTGTTCAAAGCCGTCCAAGTCATACACGAAATAGTTAACCATGGTGTAGAACTCTTTCATCTCTTCCACAGAGTCCTGCACAAATTGCATCTTACGTCTTGTCAGCTCAAGCACCAATGTACAACGTGTTGACCTTCTTCTTTTGCAAAGCATAAACGAACGACGGACAGCCCTTCGCCTTCCACAACTGCGTTGATCCGTACTTCTCTATCTCGCCGAACCTTTCTTCTGCGATGACGGGGAGGATTTCTTGCCCAAAATGGCATGCACCGCGGCCGTTGGACCTTCCTTTCGAGATGAGCCAACGCAAAAACCACCTGGGCCCGGCCCGCCCTGGTTGTATGCTCTTCGACCTTGAGTTTTCTATAGCTCCCGGCCTTAAAGCCGAAGCCCGGCGGTAGAGGTGGCTTCGGACGGGAGCTCTGTAGATGGTACAAGTGGCTTTGCAGCAAAACAGGAACTACCTTGCGCGCCTTCACTTCGGGGGCATGGGAGTCGTGTCAAGACTCCCGCGCCGAAGGGCCCACCTCTGTTCAGGGGTGTCGTGGAAAGTCAGAGAGACCACCACTTTCCGGGGGTGTTTAAGAAAAGAGGGCCTGGAAGGCGCAGATAGGGGCCAAGATAAGGATGCGAGGTGATCTTGCTTGTTTGCTTGTGGGGCGTTTGGGGACAGGGAAGCACGCTGCGGAGAAGCGCTACGCCTTAGTCCGTGTCTGATTTGTCGATGTGAGACATGACTGTGAACCCGGACTCCCTTTGCACCAGCCATCCCTTGCTTGCTTGCTTGGGGTGTGGGTCCCCTGGAGAACCCCGGCCGAAAGCCACTGATAGTGACCTTGAGGCATCATCCGGGTCATCTGCGGGCCCTCCAGCCGTCTCTCTCTCTCTCTCTCTCTCTCTCTCTCTCGCTTTCCCCCGTCTCTCTCTATATCGCTCTCTCTCGCTCCACGGCTGTAAACTCTGCATGCAGACATACACAAACAAACAAGCGGCAGTCATCGCTTCATCTCTCCTGGAACTGTGTGGAGGTGCTTCCCGGAGGAAGTCCCGTCAACTCGTCATAGGCACGCCTGGATACGAGCAGAATAGCTTGGCAACATACAAGCTTGCTTGAGCCCTGCCAAATGCCATTCAAGGCCGCTGCTTGTACTCAGTTTCCAGTCTCTTGGCCCAGAGCAACATGGATAAATCCTGCAAGTGCAAGCATCCAAGGCGTCAAACTCGGCCAAGAGAAGTCACAGCAACAAGAAAAGCAGACGTCCTGCTCTGGATACTGCCCGATTGTGAAGAGAGGCACTGCAAGCACCAGCAGAATGGTTAGGAATGACACCTGCGACGTTAGCACGCATTGTTGCTGCAGCACGAACCAAAAAAGGAATCAAGCCTTCGTGGACAGAGTCATCATCAAACGAGTTGAAAGCTTCTTGGCTTCTGCAGGGTTACTCGACCTGATTCAACAAATCGCCTTTGCCAGGCTCATATTGTCGAGCGTAACATTCCGAGCCGTGCACATATCCATATTCTTGTCCTTGTCCCTCAAATAATAGCTCAAGCACTTCATAAGCTTGGAAAGACGTCCAACGCGAGCACCGACCTCGTACAGGGGAAACAGACGGCTCAGAGGCAACAAAGCAAAGCACTGCATGGCACTGCGCTGCGACTGCCATGCCTTCGCTGCCCTGGCCGTGCGCATCAGCATAGCATCGACGGATCCGTTGGCAGTCTGCATTTTGCCAAAGCTTCCCAGGAGTGTCGAGATCTCGAAAATCATGGACGCCGTTCCCAATGCATCCATCCAGAAAAAGAACGACCTCCCAACTACAGCAATCTCACGCTCTTCTTCAGAGCAAAGGGTCCAAAAAATACATAAGACAAACACGTGTGCCCTAAATGCATGCTTTGAGATTGAGTGGCAAGGGATATGTCTTGTAGTCCACTATGCCGTTGACAACCATTTCTATCAGAAACAGGATGGTGACCGCTGCCATCAACGTGTCCAGGACCAAGATGCCAGGGTCATCAGGCACGTCTAGCACGACGAATAACCCCCCACCAAACAATGCGAAGATGAGGCAGGCAACCAGCGTCACCCGGAAGATCAGGCTCTCTAACAGCGGCCTGAACATGCAGAGCTTGACTTGTGCATGTCAACCATCTTCGTCATGCGCGGCACGATGCAGTCAACATGCAAGACTGAGGCTGCATAAATTTGCACCTGAGCCTGCTGGACCACACCACCATGTTGCGCTTGAACGGTCCCTGCAGGGGCAGCAACGTGATCGAAAAGTTAAGCCAACAAATCTTCGTGCCTGCTTCTCAGGGATGACTAGGACGAGACCACCTTTGCTGCTGCATCTACGTCTATGCCCGTGCAACTACAGAAGACAGCAAGGGACGACCGAGGCGGCTACCCCCTAGAGAGCGTCTCCTTGCCAAATGCTGACTGGCTATCTCGCATCTGATCCCAAGTAATTCGGTTGTGCAGATTCGACGGGCTTGCCGGGTCCTGACTGTACCATGACCATCTTTTTTCGAATCATCTGCTTCGGAATGGAAAGCTTCCGCCTTGGCAACCCACTCTTGTGCCGACTACATGGTTCTCTCAACAGCGACGAACAGTCGTCGACTCAGGCTGCGGCTGGCGCAACGCTTGCCATGAGCGGGAAGCTTGAGGATGAGGGCGGATGGCCAACGCTTGTGCATCTGCCCGCGGCCGACACTAGACTAGCCTCATCCTGAGCCAAACGAAAGCGAGCGCCATGAAACTAAGCTGCTGCAGCAGCCTTCAAGAGGGCGCTCACCTGCAGCTGATGAAGCAGGTTATGTGTTAGCTTGGAACCGCAATTGGGTTAATGCCATTCGCGGCCGGGACCGGAATCGAGTGTGAAGCGCGAACTGTAGCTGTGAGGTGCGAGCTTGCAAGGAAGGTGTCAGCTGTGAGCTGCCAGATGCGAGCCGGGTGCGAACAAAGGACGGCACCTCTTGCCCGCCTCAGGCCTGTAACTGTTACCGATGCAAGCAGCAGCAGCAGCAGCAGCAGCGGCAGCGGCAGCGGCAGCGGCAGCGGCAGCGGCAGCGGCAGCAGCAGCAGCAGCAGCAGCAGCACCACCACCACCACCACCCCGTCCGGTGCAACAACCGTATCCGGCAACCTTGTTCCTGCTATGCGAAGAAAGCCTGTTCCCTGATTAGAGTTGTGTCTGGCTTCGAGCTTTTTGGATGCTTTGTAGCTTCTTCGAAGACGCAAACTTGGTTGTCTCATAGTTTTCCGAAATGCTCCGCTGGTGCAACAACCAGAACCGCTGCTCTTGTGCTTTTATTTGCAGCTGCAGTTCTTCATGCCGCATGCCGTTTCCATGTTGGTCTACAAAGACGCTACATGTCCATGCGCTGCACTGTTTTGTCTCTTTCCCCCTTTGAAAGTCCGTCCGCTCTCTAACCATCCTGTCTGTCACCGCCCCTGCGGGCGCGCCATCCACGGTTGCTCGCCAAGACGGGCACTCCTGCCAGCCTTTGACTTGAAAGATGCTGTGTGCAACCACTGGGCCGCATGTGCTACAGTAATTCTGCGTCCAGTTGGCAGACGCATGCCTCGGCTAAAGCCCGCAGGGAGTGCATCACGCCTGGGTGGGCTTCGCCGCGTCTCCTGGAAGGGAGACGATGGTGGCGTGCGCTGCAAGTTGGGAGCTGTGCCAGAGGCGCAGGATGTGCGCGACGACCTCAATGCACCGCTCGTCCGCGACATGCACGTCGAGGTTCATGTCCGCGAGCCTCACGGGCCTCACGTGGCGTGCGACCCTTGCGCCAGCTTCGTGGCAGACCCGCGCAAGCTTTCCCGCTAAACCTTTAGCCCAGGTGTTGAACAAGAGAGAGGTGTCCGGAAACGACCGTGGGTCACGGTCAGAGAAAACAAACTACAGCAATCATGATTGGATCTCACGCATTGTTTTCGTAGCCAAAGCAAGCAGCAAAACAAACAAACAAACAAGCCAAAACCAAATCGCTGAGTTTCTGAACCCGGCATGTTGCACATCATAGGTACAGAAACGGTATGTATAATTCCTGCGCAAACTGCCGCCCTCAGAGCAACAACTGTTCACCTGACAAGCTTCGGGGGCTACCCAAACATCAGGACCGAAATCGATGTTGTTCCTCATGTCACGGACTGTGTTGACATACACAGATCACACAAGTCGGGATGGGCTGGCCCACCTTTGACGCAAAGCCTTGTGTGCCGGGCAGTCGAACAAAGCATGCGCCAATCAATGCTGCGGGCACGAAAACGGTAAGGACAATTGACCAAAGGGGCACTAAGTGCCCGATGTATGGCTGCACGCCCATCAGCACAAGTGTGATGGCCGCAACGTGCTAACCCCCAGTATCGCGCTCGATGGGTTTCAATTGCGTGTTCGTGGACAGCACGGTGTAAGGCGGACCTGGGTTGCCAACGCGCACACTGCTGGAAGGAGCTGCGTTCTTGAAGCAGTGAAACATAATGGAGGTCGGCGTGTTGACAACATCTTCACGATGCGGTGCCAAGGCTTTGCCGAAGTGGCTTGGCTTCCCAATTGGATACCGTAAACATGCGGATCTCTGTTTTGTCAATACTTCACGAACCCACGATCGAGGCTGGTTCAGTGCACATTGTGCTATCTGTGCAGCAAAGCAATGAGAAGGAAGGCAAAGCAGTCGTGCGCAAAGGCTTGCTGTTGGCTGCCATGCGGCCCAGCTACAGACGTCGACCCCATTTTTATTCACCCGAGCCTGAAACCGGCGAGTTTGGGCACCTTGCGGTACAAACTCCAGCCCGAAACAAACTAGAGGTCGCACATAGGAGTAGAAAATGCGTTCCACGAAATGAGTGGCAATGTTGCTGATTGCGTCCATGAAACACAGCGGCCAGCTTACACGCACCCCGGCGTGAAGGCTCATTGATGTGCTGCGTCCAACCCCAGCGTTTATGCAGTGTGATCCCCAGGCAGGTGTATGTGCTGACGTGTGGGAGGACATGCTCACCAACATGGAAGCGGAAGTGTGGAGCCAGGAGGTGCATCAAGCCGCGTTGTAAGTCAGCAGGGTATCAGTGAAAACGACGATGTCATCAGCATACAGCAATACCTGGAGACGTGGTGCGACTGCATGACACAGGCCTAGCAAGTCCGTTGATGAATAAATTAAAGAGGAAACCACTCAAAGCTTTTTTACCACTCAAAAAACTGCTCCTTGCCTTACCCCACTCTCCACCTCCCACGAGTCGGAAGCACATGATGCAATGCGCACCGCAGTGGCTCGGTCACCCACTAAATCGACAACCAAATGCAGAAAAATGTCACGAATTGATGGGGATGCCCGCTTTGCAACTTTGAAAATGCATCGTCACGCCAAGCTGCGTCGAAAGCTTGGCGGAAGTCCAGGAAAGCGCAGAACGTTCGGGAACTTTTCAACTTTTTGTAACCGAAGATTCTCCCACACGCAGAGGAGCAGTTGCAAGACCGGTGGTGTACAGAAACTGTATCAACCACACCTGGAGATGCAATGACAAGATCTAAAGCAACTCCGCATGAGTGGGTAAGTGATTTCAAGTTGATTGCAAATTTCAAAGCCGTGCGCTTGCAACAGGTGTAACGCAAGTGACTACGACCGGCTGATCGTTGCTCACATGCCTGTACTAGACCGGGAACCCATCATCTAGAATCACCAGCTACAACGACGTCCACACCCGGAAAAATTTGCAGGGACAATCTCAATGTTGTCTGACTTACCATGCCATGGCGCGAGAGCGAAATGGTCAGCTTTTGAGTAGCCCACACGTGGGGCATAAACGGGCGCGACAACTGTGGCGGAACATGGCGGCACTAGATTCGCCATATGAGAACAGACGCCAGCAGGTATCAGCATGAGAGCCGCACTCGCAGCCAATGTCCTCTTCCGCGATCTCAACATCATCACCCGGCGACAGGACGGCCACCGCACTGAGGTCATCGCCAAAGGACTGCTCCTCCGGGGCGGAGTCCAGCTCGCCGTCGACACTATACTCTCGTCGCGGCTCTTGATGCAAAAAGCCGCCCGCAGCGACACCACCGCGACACTGTCGGTGCCGCCTTCCGCATCGCACCCGCAAACAAAGAGCGCACCTGCCCAGAGCTCTTGGCGCCCCGCGGTGCCGCTTTGTCGTGCTTGCCATCGAGGTTGCAGGATGTTGGAGTGCAGATGCGGGAGCGGCGCCGGACCTCCATGAGATCCTCACTGAGGACCGTGGCAGCCCCTCGCTGCTTGCAAGCCGCCTATACCGTCGCGCCCGTAGTTCGCAGCTTGCACGGGGACCGCGGAAATGATCGAAAAAATGCGCTAAAAAAAAAGTGTGGAGGCCGTTCAGTTCGTCCGACTCCTCTCACGCTTCCGAGCACGGTCCGCGTCTCCTCACCTGCGTCGTGGCTGCAGCGGTGGTCTAGATTCCTTGCATTTGCGGCCGCCAGGTCCTTTGCAGCCTCGCTGTTGTCGGTGCCCCTCCACCGCAACGTCGATCGCCTCCTCCCCGACCTCAGCGACGTGCGTGCCGAGCACCGCCTAGACAACCCGCCGCCTGCCAGTCGCTTGCCCGCACGGTGATGTGCAGCCACCGCATCACACTCGACTCCTGATGCCACCACAGCCTCTTTCCTTGTAGACTGCCGTCTGCACAGGGACGGCACTGGACCTTCAGTCATGCCATGCAGCGATGCATTGGTCAGCATCTTGCAAACTTCGGCAACCTGCGAACTATGGGCCCGAAAGGCTGGGCACGGGAGGGGCTGCGTCGTGCAGCACGTCCTCAAGCGGCGGGTGCTGTGCGCTAGGTAGGGCGCCAGCGACGTACGGCGCCCCAAACAGCGTGGCAGCAATATGTGCTTTGCAGAGCCACGCTTATAAGAAACCCCACCAGCGGCGCAGCCAACCCTGCCTATAGCCGCAGGGCGCAGGGCGGCAGGAGCGCGCTGGGCTCGGAGGCGCACGGGTTGAGTGACGAGGCGTACCGACTCAGCATTCCAACGGCCTCCAACTTCGCAGGCGAGGACGCAAAGTCGCTGTGGCCCCGGCCGCAGCAGTGCAGGGTATAGGCAACACGCTTGCGCCTTCCTGCGACAGTGATGGCGGCGCCATCGCGAGTGGCTGGGGCCGCCCCTCGTGTGTCAGAGACGACGAGCGTGAAAGCGGGGTAGCCCCGTACACGACAGGGTCAAGGCGGCGATCGGCGGGGTCAACGTCGCGTGCGGACGTGCGCGCCAACCACTGCTGCGGGACGACCTGGCCCTCGGGTCTGACAGCCTCACGCGCGATGCGCACCC